TTCGTTGACTGGGGTAATCGGGATGGATGTGTCAGAGGCGGTGTGGTTGGCACAGGATAGAGCAGGGTTTAGGGCTGTTGTGCATAGGGTCGCTATGAGTCGCAAACGACTTGAAGGCACATAACAACAACAGGGAGATGTGTGCATCTACTTGTAGAATCACCATGAATGGTGATGAATATAGGTCCCGCAAATATCCCAAAAAATTGTAACTACTGATAATCTAATTTTTGAAAGTTAAGTAAATTCTTAGTAAAAACAAAGTAACCAATGCATGCCAAAGTTTTTAACCTTTTAAAGCAAAATCTTTCTTCAGTTTAAAACAAGTGTTGCATTCTGGGGAAATTCAGCATACATGGAAACTACATAAAAAGTATTTTTATTTAAAGCAAAATTAAGTGCTTATCAGGTAATTATGAACAGGTTTTCTACCCACACAAATGTCCAAGAAGTATTTAAAGGTCATTAGGGACATAGGACGGCTCTCCATTCTGCAGAGTTGACACACGGAGCAGGACATTTCATTCTCACCCCCACACTGGTCCAGCAGTCCTGACCTGTCATTATGTTAACCAACACTGTGCCCACATTTCCCCATATGCAGGACAAGGAAAACGTTCAAGGTAAATTCAAAAGGTTTATTGCACCAAATGCCACAGAGAAATGGATCAAAATAATACATGAACACATTTTAAGAAAAGTTTTCCACACACTGACATTGGTATCTATTCAAATGATCGAAAATATAAAGAAGTCCTATCAATCTGCCTGAATGGAGCTTCAATAACAACAAATCTCAGATTTTTTAAAAAAATGCAACTTAAATTGAAGCATATTGCAATCTCGCTTCACCAAATTTTGCCATTTTAAAAGTAATATCCATAGGAGGGTGTTTGATTTAGGCAAAATTATATTTAAATATCCCCTCCCCAAAAGCACAACAACAAAAAGAAATGGTTCACATTTACTAAGAAAAGCTAAAGACTTTTTCAACTTAATGGTGAAATTATGCATAAACAAAATACTTTCAAAAGTACATATTAGTGAAAAATGCCAGACATTTAAAAGAATTTGGAGGTCACTTTATAGTTTTATTTTTTTTTATGTACAATCAACTCTATGTGAGTAACCTAAAAAGCTACAGACTAAATTTTTATAAAATCTCAGGACCTAATTATAAGAGCTCAAACAACAGTTTAGTATCATTTAGCAAGTGGGGATTTCTCTCCCTCCAAAAAGTTAATTTTGAAAAATATGGTTAATTTTAAAAAGTTGTGATGTGTAAACGGCAGTTCAATGGGATGTGAAAGATTAGAGTTACTTTCATTAAAAAACAGCACACTTCAGAAAAATGGATTGAAGCCTGTACAAAAAGCTATTTAACACTGATAAAAATAAAATACTTTGGAATTATGCACAAGTATGGAAGCTACATTTTAAATTTTCATTGTCGTGTTTAAACATACACAATTATTTTTACATTCATATCACTTATCAATTAAAAATAAAACTGCAACATGCTAGAAAGAGGTCCATCACAGGGACGTTGACACACTTCTGCTCTGTCATGCCTCACTACTTGCTTCCAAGAGCAAGATGCTACAAAAGTTACACTCAACAGATAAGACTCAAAAGTTGAAGAAACCCTAAATGTGGAATCCTGTCAACTGAGGTAGTTTTCTTTATATTTTTTAAATTTTCTTTTCTTTTCTTTGTTTTATGTATGGTGGGCTCAGGAGAGGGCAGGATCTCCCTTTCTTGCCTCTGCAGCTAAGACAGAATGAAGCCACTGGGTGGCATGCAACGTGAGTGGGCGTATCTTTTTTAAGTCATTTTTGGAAAGAGGTTGCATTTAAGACAAAATCTGAATGTTATTTAAAATGATTATAAAATAGCAGCAACATTCTTAGTCTGCTTTTGCAGAGAGTTCTAACTGGAATTCTGAGCATCACTGAGACAACCCCCACACATCGCTCACCTGTCGTTTTCCAACAGACATTTCTCCAAGAGAAAGTTCTGAAACATTAAGAAGCTCATGAAATTTTGGGGTGCTCAATTACACTTTTTATAACAAAAGTTTAGAATCAGTCCTTTAAAGCTAGATTTCTCCTTACAAGGGCCAAATTTCAACAAGCCACTAAGTTCACACTGTAATTGACCTGATCTTATATTGAATCATTTTCTATGAAACCCTGAAAAGTGGTGAATGCAGAAAAGTGCCCAAAATGTGTAAACAAGGAAAAGGAATTAGAATGACAGGGAATGCTTTAACTGGTTCAGATGCAAAGGATGTACCATCATTACATGTGAGTACAGGTATTCACAAGTAATGAAAAACCCATGGTGACCGAGCTGAGCCACAGTAAGGTTCATTCTACTTCTGCAAACATTGGTAATGTGAAATTAGTGAATTTAAAGCACTAAACTCAAGTGTGAAGCTAATGGAAATGTTAAAAGAATAAAACCTCAATCTTAATGACAGAAGAGACATGAAAATGAATGTTCCTAAATGCTTTCATGCACTCATTCAGTCATTCATTCATTCATTCACACTTTACATCCTCAAGAGAGAGAAATGTAACAGATCTGACCTATCTCCAAGAAAGAATTCATCCATTCTCCTCACTGGTACTGCTGGTATACGCTTTCAAACAAATAACTAGCCTATATGTGTGAGAAAGAAAATGAAAAATTAACATTTACTTGCATTTAGGGTCAGGATTTTACCATTTAAAAATTTTGAAGTCATTCTAACTCTTAAGAGGAAGTTCACTTTATGTTCTTAGCTAAGGAGGACATATGAAAAGGCCTGGAATTAATTCAATATAAATGAGTAAAAGGAAACCAGAGTCAGATTACAATGTATTGTACTCAGATCTGCAAAGTGACAGTACTTTAACTTTACTAAATGAGCTCTCTTTATTAATGCTTACCTGTATTTTTTTAACGTTTCCTACTTAATTCTGCATGTTAGTACACTGCCTGTTTCAGGGGAAGTAAACTAAGTAAAATTTCTATTAACAGAAAACTAGGTGGTTTTCTTTTTAAAGTGAACTATGCTAATGTGTAAACTTTTTTTTTTTTTGTTAGCACATTGTGTCTGCTGGGCAAGTTAACTTCTAGAAAGATGTTTTTTTTTGGCTTTTTTTTTTTTTAATAAAGGAGTTAGAAGGCACAGAGATGAGAAGGTAAAAACTGAAAGGGAACATTTCTAAATGTTCAAACCAGTTACTTTTATTTTGTCATCTTCAATTCTGGTGGGTTTCACTTTCCAATAAAGACAGGTGTGCCTTTTACCATATAGTCATCTGTATCAGCCAACATAGGAAGAAAATGGCTTCAGCTGTGTTTACCAGCTGAACAGAAACACTCTTATAGAAATAACTTTGGTAAATGGCCTCCTTTAAAAAGGCTGCTGTGAAAGCTCTAAAATACAAGGATAAGAACATAGTGTCAGATTACAAACTTTCCGGCAACAGTCTGTCATGGTGGGGTTAGGATGCTCCACGGACTCCTGAGTTGACTATCAAGACCCTGTACTACTAGTCTACCCCTAACCCACCTGTGGTTTCATCTGCAACAACGTAAATTCCAGGAAGAAATGAAAACAGTGGGGTCCTAAAGCATTCTCTCTTTCCACCATGCAAACCTCTTTCAAGTTGTATTTCACACCTGAACACCTTTAGCCACCAGAGCTAACAATGGTACACTGTGGCTTTCTTCATTTCACCTACTATGAAAAGCCAACTCTGACTTGGTATCCAAAGTTCTTATTAGGGCAGTCTCCTCAGAGGGGCAAAGTATGCTTTCTCTAGCTTGGAGAGCTCATGCTTAACTCGGAAACATTTTCTACTGGAATGATGTGTACACTGTTTATCTTGTTGCTTCAAAGTAACCAAAACCTGAACAAGCCCACTTCATGTGTCCTTACACTGAACACAGAGCACAAGGCAATCTGTACTACTAGCTTCGTGCTTACTGTAGTGCTTATTTCTCCTCTTTTCAAAGAAGCTCACTCTGTTGATCCATGGGTAACAAAAGGCCTAAAGTATTCATGAAAAACACAAAAGCCATTATGTCAAGTAAACCTAAAGTCTTCCAATGAAGCATCACTTGAAAGCAAAAAAAAAAAAAACAACACAAAGTGGAATGATGGCTTCAGCTTGCTCTTCTCATGCTACTGGCGTCAGGGAGAGCTTATTTCTTTGTCCTTCAGTTGAGAATTTTCAAAGAAGAGCTGTCCTGAGCTTTATAGGAGTATCTGAGCCACGTAAGGAGAATGAGTGCTGGCAATAGCAGTCAGCAGAGGCAAGTCGTTAGATTCAATCCTGAAAATTGGAAAAATAAAAGTATTTTAAAATTCACACATATTTCATATGATAGCAGCCTAACAACCAATCTAGGAAAATTTGGAAATACGACAAAGAGATCTTTTTTAAAAATCTGTAGCTCTTTTCTGAATAGTCATAGTCTATGTACTAGTATTTCATTATTTTAGTTTTGGAGTTGATATATAAAAATCTATTTTTGTATTGTACCTAAGCAATTAAAATTAATAAAGTTTCTCATCTGTTGAGAAAAAAAAAAAAAAAAGCACCGAAGGATATTTCTAGGAGCCAAGGTTCCCAGACAATTTCTTGAAACCAATTAAAAAGTGTAACAGGTGGAAAGATAACATAAACACGGTTTTTAAAAAAGAAGTAAAAAGTAAAATCTCTAATTGGATAACTTCTAAGGAAGCAAAGGGAAATATGCAGGCAAGTGATGTGTATACAGGTGAACATATGTAAACACATGTACATGTGAACATGTGCATCCCCTCAGGTGTGCTTATACGTGTGGACACATGGAGTGTAACAACCTCATTATGTTAGACATTATTGTTTCTCCATCATTCTTCAGTCAACACTCCTAAATGTAAATTAGTCCTCAGAAAGTGATGATGGAAATAATGTCTTAAAAAACCGTGAGGTTTTCTAAGTAGGGTACATGTTTGTTAGGTCTTCCCTATGTGTTCTAGACACTGAGAGAAGACACACACTATGCTGAATCCAGACACATCGTCCTTCAAATAGACATGGCTTTGGCAGCTCCCTTCAAGCAAAGGCTGTTACAGTATGGTCGCTGCCTACATGATCCTATATTGTGAAAAAGAGCAGCCAGTCTGGGGGGTGGAGGGTAGGTCTCTGTTCTTTCCCTTTAATTCTAAATATTTAAAGATTTAAAAAAGCCCTCAAAACACTCCATGGAGCTTTCCATTAATTTTCCAATAATGCTATCTCCAGTTCTAATTTTGGAGTAGACAAGTTTAGTGTTGTGGCCCTGACTGTAAAGGAAGGTAATAAAGATGGATGCCATTTCTATTAATAATGGGCCAAGAGGATCCAGAGATTAGTGCCAAAGGTAAATAAATCCATACCATCCCTCTAGATGCGTTGGTGATGGACACCTATCAGAGCCAAGCACTTGGCAAAGGTCATAGAAATACAAACGGCATATAAAAAACAACATGTAACCAGAGACTTTATAAGGTAAACATGAGGCTAATGAAGAGATAAACAACAAAGCAAAAAATATGGCATAAATATGTGCTATAGGTTAAGTGCAAAGGCAAATACTTCAGAAGATCAAAATTGTATTTTTAAAAAGCTTATGCAAAAGGAAGACAGGAAGTCATACCCTGAGAGTCAAAGATGCAATATGTGCCAAGACTGTAGAGGTCTAAGCTCTTGTCTTAACACAAAACATAAAGGTGGATATTACATATACAGTATTTTTCCCCTTCTAAGTTAGGGAGTATAAGATCACAGATATAAGAGGATAATTCTTCATACATAATATATTTTGCTCTGTGTTGAAAAATGAAGCAGAGAGTAAAACAACCGTCAGCATTTCTTCTCCTACAGCACTCAAATGAGCTCATTGCTTTTGAATCAGAACCAACCCATAGCTGACCCTCTATTGGGTTTCCAAGGCTGTAAATCACACAGGAGGAAACAGCCTATCTTTTCTGCAGAGCTGCCTCTGAGTTGTGTAACCCTCTACAGACTATACCACCAGAGTTCCCTTCTTCTAGCCAAGCTACAGAAAATAGTCTTTGAAAAATGATATATGTTATACTATGAGTTGCAAACGACTCAATGGCACATGACAGCAACATAAAGTAAGTTTCTTCTTGGGTGGACTTGTAATGAAAGAGAGAAAAGTGAAGCCATTCCATGGAGACCCAGACCCCTGAAAGGCCAGGAGAAATGCTGCTCTTGCAAACTGGTGGAAGGCTGCCACTGCTCGTGTAAGGAGGAAACTACAAACACAAGTGTTGCTTCATGCCTGATGGGCTGAGGCAGTGACATCTCACTGAAATTGTTAAAAAATGGGCACACAAAAGGAGACTGGATTTTTCCCCACCAACTGCTCCAGGAGAAGGATGGGTAATCTCCCCTGAAACATACTGCGTCTGAAAATACACTGCAGGGTCAGCTCCAGGTCGGTTCTGACTCAATGGCACCAAAAAACAACAGTTTAAAGATGAGGAGGGGATGGTTAAACACTTGGCTGCCTATCAAAATGTTCAAGTCCATCCAAAGGTGCCTTGGGAGAAATGCCTAGTGGAGCCACTTCAGAAAAATGAGTCAATACAAATCCTAAGGAACAGAGTTCTTCTCTGACATACAGAATCATCAGTCAGAGTTGACCAGCTGGAAAATGGTTTTCAGCATGAAAATAATCTGGGGAGATTATGAACACGCACTTTATAGTTCTGTGATTCTTTCCAGATGTGACAGGGCAGTAACAGATGCAAGAGATGTGTTGTTCCTTGGAGAGCAACAGAGGCAAGCCCTGAATAGATACCCAGACCCTTCAATGAGTTTTCAGGCCTGCAGGCTGCGGATGGCACGGGCTAAGTGGCTCAGAGGGCTCAGGGTTAAGAGCAGCCCCATTCACAGGGAAGACAGCAGCGCTTTACAGGACTCACCCCAGCACAACACCCAGTTCTTTCACATGGACTCGTGTGTGTCCCCGGAGATATTCAGACAGCATTTTACTTTTCAGGTACATCTCCTGTAGTCTGTCTTCAAGATGCATGACACACTGTGAAGTCAAAAATACTCAGAATGAGGGCTGGATCTCATAGCTCTGCCAATATTTTGAGAGTTAAAATTCCTATTTATAATTATACATCTTAATTTCTAGTTACACAGTTATAACCTCATCTCTCTTAAGTGCAGTTAAAAAACTTTAAAGACATCTTAAATCCTAATATTGTTGTTGTTGTTGTTATGTGCCGTCGAGTCACCTGCGACTCATAGCGACCCTATGTACAATAGCCCTAAACTCCGCTCTGTCCGGTGCCAATCGCACTGTTAGCTGGTAAAAAAATAAGCTTTTATAAAAGAAATTTGTTTTCAAATAGAAATACTTTCATATATCTTTACAGCCTTTGGGGGGGGATCACTGTTACTGAGCTTACTCTGTTATGTCCTTTTAAAAACCTTTAACTTTTAAAACGTCACGTATTTTATTAAGTATTCTTTATTGATATAATTTTTGTGGATTATTTTTGAGAATGTGAAAATACTATCATTTACTAACCACAAGCAATCTGTATTTTGCTATTTAAAATACTTTGTAAAGAACATCTTTATATTTTTCTCCTGTATCTTGGATTATTTTGTATTCCCAGAAGTGGAATGACAGAATGCCTGGAATAAGGTTATTTTGAACAATTTTTTTTTTCTTTCAAGGGTACATGTTAACTAGGTCTTTAATAGCAATTTTTTTAAAAAAGCAATTATTTTCAGGACAACTCTACCCTTGGAAATACATCCAACTTCATTTTTTAGAGAATAGCGACCATCTGTGTCTTTCACCAGAGGCAAATGGTTTTGCATTTGGCAAGCAGAGGTATCCAAGCATCTTCAGCAAGACACCTGATGGCTCTGGCAAGGATAATTCCATCATACACAATTTTCTTCTAGACCATTACGCCTGTTATTTTTCAAGGTAAAGAAGATTAACAGATGCATTTGAAAATGTTGATCTTGACCATCTGGGCTGATCAGTGACATGGAAAAAGTATCCATCAGAAATGTGAACATTACAGGTTTTTATCAGCTTAAAATCTTAAATGCTTTGGGATGTGTGGGTGAAACTCATCTGGTAACTGACTAAAAGTAACAGTCAAATCAAGGAAGAGTTCACTGATTTTTTTAAAAAATTATTTCCTCCAAGTAGTGTGTAGGAAGTTAGGCTGCTAAGCCAAAGGTCACACCTCTCTGAGAGTTCGAATCTACCAGCGGCTCCATGGGAGAAAGACAGGCAGTCTCCTCCTGTGCAATTTATGGCTTCAGAAAGCCTGCTGGAGAGTCTGCTAGGCACTGGTTCCAGCTAAATGGCAGTGAGTTTATTCCCTCCAAGTAAACAGTAAAAAGTTCTCATGCTAAATTGCAGCTCTTTATGACATAAAACACCACTAAGTCATTTCAGTTCTTAGCAACAGTGCTAAAAAAATATTTAAAAAGAACATTTAAAAAAAATTGTTCATTTACAGTGTTTCCGCAGCCCCAAGAAGCCTCTATGTTATGTATGGTGTGGCAATCCAGAGAACACTGGTCTAAATGGAACGCATACTAAACTTGAAATTAGAAAATTTGTTAGGTAAATTTTTAAAAATGTTTCTCTTATCAAGTAAAACCTTATTTATTTATTCTTATCATATAAAACCTGTGTTTTCATTATTATTTTAAAATAAAACCTGTATTCTCTCCAATTCCTTATTTATACTTTCTGAGATTTTATTTTTTAGAGAGATTTTTTTTTTTAATTCCTGAAATATTAAAGTGATTTTTAGCCTGAAAAGACCCTGAGGGTTTTCAAGACTGTAAATCTTTATGGAAACAGACTGCCTTATCGTCCACAGAATGGCTGATGGGTTCAATCTGTTAACCTTTCGGCTTGTAGTGAAGTGCTTAACCACTGTGCCACCAAGGCTCCTCTGCAAGCCTAACGGCTACTGAGTGTTCTCAGTCAAGTGTTCGGCACGTGTTTTCAATTCAAGTAGTTTATTCAGGTGATATTTAAAGAGAATTTCTTATGGCAGGTAAAATTTTCTTTAATCTTGGTTTTGTCAAGTAAGTAATTCCTAATTCATTTCGTCAGTCAGCTCATGGAGAACTGCAGTTGGTGCAGTGACTGTTGGGAGGTGTTGTTCAGGTTCACTCACAGGTGACCCTACACAAAACAGAACAAAGTACTGCCTTGTCCTGGGCCAGCCTCACAACTGTGACTATGTCTGAGCGCACTGTTGCAGCCCCTGGGTCAGCTCATCTTGTTGAGGGTCTTTTCTCTTTTCCTCTGAGCCTCTATTTTACCATGTATGCTGTCCTTCTCCACAGAGCAGTCCCTCCTGACAACATGTCCAAAGTACATAAGAGGATGCCTCATCATCTTCAATAGGAAGGCGTATTCTGGTTGTACTTCCTCCAAGACAGATTTCTTTGTTCTTATGACAGTCCATGGTATATTCAATACTGTTTACCAGATCACAGTTAAAAGGCATCAATTCTTCTTCAGGCTTTCTTATTCATTGTCCAGCTTTCACATGCATATGAGATGAGTGGAAATTCCAAGGCCTGGCTGCATTTAAAAGTTGGATAAATACAAAATAGTAAAACACTATGAAACTTAATGCATTTTCCTTTCTTTACAGAAAAGAAGACAGCGGCCTGTAAATAAGGATAACTTACGCTGCTTCTAGAAAGAAGAACTTCCTACACATGTAGAACAAAACTAAGTAGTGATAGTCAAACACTTCTCATATTACTCCATGACAGATATTTTCCAAAAGTATGTTTTTGGTTAAAGCTAAATAAAGACATTAGCGAAGAGGTGGTGACAGTCTTTGGATACTATTAGATGTGCTTTAAGAAACTATAATTAACAATTATACTAATAGTAGCTGTCTCTTGAGTGCTTATAATGTCTAAGACTATTCCAAGAGCTTTACATGAACTGTGCTATTAATTTTCATAGCTATATTAAATCAGTGCTAGTATTTCACCAGTTTTGCAGACAGGATTTGAGGATTAGACAGTCATACAGTTATTAAGACTCAAGCTTGGGTATGACTCGAGGCTATCGGACTCCAAGGCCTGGGCATTAACAATTAAAATACACTGGCTGTAATAAATGCCTTAGATTTCAAGAATGCTAACAACTTAAAAAGTAACATCTTATTTCTCACATGCAGACATTCTCATAATATGTTTGTTTAGGAGGGATGTTTCACAAGTAAGAAAACTGAGGATCAGAAATGCTCAGGACCATCAGGGTCACAGAACTCTGTGACAAAGCCTAGACCTTTACCTAGTCATGGTTAGTGTCCTTCTGTTATGCCACACTGCCACTAATGTACTGGTGGCTAGACAGATCCTAAAGCTCCTTCGGTGTGTACACGTTTTCAGCATTTCTGATCAATGTGGTGTGAATTCAGCAAAATAAGTATTTCTGAGGAATGTGGTTTTTAGTAAAATAAGTATCCTGGAAAATGATCATTCATTACATTAGCAATTTGTATAAATAATAAACATACAGTTTCCTGCTCCATTGTTACAGAGCTCTGGATCATGTGAAAAGGCCTGAAAAGAAGGTAACCGATGCTCTGGTCTGAGTCCTACTTCACAGAGCAACATAGTGGGGAAGGAGGGAAACAGGAGATAAAATAGTTTCTTTCATCTGTGCACTGATCTCCAGGGTCAGCTCATCTAAGATTTTCCTAACTACATATACCCCTTAAGACTCTCATACTTTTGAAATCCTTCTCTGACCCTCTCTAAATACAGAGCTTTAAAAAAAAAATAAATACAGAGCTTTGTATGTGTGCACATATACTGAGAAAGATTTGGTATGAATATCAATTGCAGGACCTGGGCAGGGGTGTCCACTAGCCTTCTATCTTTTAGTCTTGGTTTGGGTCTACATATTCAATACTCCATTTGAAAAGGACCAAATAATACCATCTTGCCGGGATGTGATCCTTCATAATGTCAGAGGGGTTTATACAAACAATATTCCATTTCTTCCATAATAACTCTAAGGAAGTTCCCTGAGTAAGAGGAACTACAGTCCCTTCAGAAACGACTCTTCATGAATTTGAGAATTCTAACTTCCTGTTAAGCATCGCCCCCCCAACCTTACTTATTTTGCCAGATATCATTTTATTATTTTTTTCCAGACATCATTTTAAAAATATTTCAGTGTCACTGTATTCTATTTATTTCATGGAAGGGATAATATTACTGAAATCTCTCCTGCTTGCTGATTTCATATTGCATTTTCCATTTTCACTTATGAAATCTCCAATTATATGAAAAAGAATATATTTGAATTAATGACTGGATCATAAAAATGCTGTAAGGGTGTTTTTTTAAAAAACAAAACACTGAAAACTGTAACTCTTTGATGATATGAGAATACTTACAAAATCAGCAGGGAGGTGAAGCTTGTAAAGCTGCAAAATTGATTGAAGTAAACTGGACACCTGACTTGAGACCAGAACATCTTGACCCAGTTTCACGCTGTCCATCACTTTCCTCTGACTTGTGGCGACCTGGACACTCCACTTATCTGTGTCTGCGATAATACAGACAGCTTCGGCTATCGGCTCATCAAGCACAGGATGCTGAAAGGCAAATAACACAGCGGGTCAGCGCTCCACAACACCTCCAAGGGACACTCAAAATGTCCAGAGTGTTTTGTCTAGCATTAATCTTAATAGCTTAGAAACTGGTGACAGGAACTCTAGGAATTTAACTCTGTTGTAACTGGGTGCTAGCAAACTGGTTCCAACTCATGGCAACTCTGTGAACAACAGAACAACACTCTTTGGTCCTGGGCCCTCCTCAGACTGCGAGGCTTGAACACTGTGTTGCAGTCCCTGCCCCCTGTGAGAGTCTTCCTCTCTTTTGCTGACAACTCTCTACTTTTCCAAGCATGTTGTTCTTCTCCAGGGCTTAACCCTCCTGACAACATGTCCAAAGTACATGAGTGGAACTCCTTATCATCTCACCTCTAAATGGTATTCTAGTGGAACTTTGTCCAAGACAGATTTGTATGATCTCTGGAAGTCTACTGTCTAATCAATAGTCTCTAACACCCTAATTCAAAGACGTTAACTTTGTTTTGGTTTTTCTGATTCACTGTCCAGTTTTCACATGTGGACACTGAATAATTACGATATAGAGACCCTGTGTGTTTCTACCATTTTTCCTACATGCTTCCTGCATCGTTCAGTATTTCACCCCTAGAAACAGTACAGTGTTGTTACGTGCCATCCTTATATTATCACATGTTCAAATAACTGTAAACATGAAAAATAATTTCACATAACAGACTCTTATGAAGCCCTGTTTCTTAAGAATGGTTCTAGTCTTCTAGACCTGCTTGCTAGTCAAAGAGATCAGTGACTCCCTTCACTTTGCCCTGCCACATTCATGCAAAGGTTTGTGCGCGCTCACCCCTCTCCTCTACTTCCACAGACGAGCACGCTATCCAAAATAGCTCAGGAGCATCCCTTTACATGTTCCTGCTCAATAAGGATGTGAAAAATCGAAGCAAGATGCCAACACTCACCACCCATTTGGCTTGGGTTTTGTGAATAAAGAGAACGAAATTCTGGAAATGAAAATATAATTTTAAGAGGTTCGATATCAAACGCCTCACTGATTTTCATTTGTCATAGTCCAAATGTGTTAAGCAGATTACAGCCAAATCTATACTATAGTCTTTTTCTTCAAAATACTTGTATTTGGAAAGTGCATATAATCATTATTGATACACATACTCATATACATAAATGTATGCGTGTTGTGTATGATGAGCTAAATGTAAGCCAATCATCTTTCATAGTAAAAGACAGCCTATACCGCTCTAATTTATTTGCAGTCATAATTTGGAACTTAGTTTCAAACTGAAGGTCAAATTTATTTCTTCAAAAAGAATTTAAAAAGCCTTTGTAAAACAAGCCAAACCTACTGCAAATGCTATTGTAACTAAGCTTTTCTATGCATTTGTATGTTCTTGGATAAGAAAAATTCATGTATTCACTGAAAGAAGAAATTTAGAATTAAAACCTAGTTGCTGTTGTTGTTAAATGCCATTGAGTCACAGACAACTCATAGCGACCTTTTCTTTGTTTCTCCAAGTTCATAGGGTTTCCAGAGGCAAGCTATTTTGGAAGTGGATGCCACTCCCCCATCATAGTGGTAGGGAAGGGAAAACAATGCCATTCCAAAGCAGCATACAGACTATTATGTATATGGTACCACCATTAAAGACACAGATTTTAAGCAACAAACTGCAAGGACAAGGTCAATGGGCTCACTCAATGGGTATCTATAGCAGATTCTCCACACACGTTAGGAAGGTTCTAGATATTATAACAAAAATGAACAGGGGAGCTGGCTCACTTATTTCAAAAGAAGTAGTGGGGGGAAAAAAGAAGTAGTGGGACCTAGAGGGTAAAAGAAATGTTAAAAAAAACCCGCAATAATGAATGATTTTTTTTTCTACAGTGAACTGGAAAAGGGGAAGGGAAGGAGAGGGGGTAAAATGTGCAAAATTGAATGAATGAAAAAATCTAACTTCTCTGTAAATGTTTGTTAAAATGACAATTAAAATTTTGTTTAAAAAAATTATAACAAGAAAAATATTGTTATTGTTGTTGTTGTTGTTGCTCTTGTTAGGTGCCGCTGAGTCGAATACAACTCAGCCAACCTGTGAACAAAAGATCTGAACACTTCTATCTTGAGCCATACTGATACATCCTAACACAAGAGCCCATTGCAGCAGTCACCATGTCAATCTGCCTGGTTGAGGGTCTTCCTCTTCTTCGCCAACTCTCCACCCTTCCCAGCATCAAGTTGTTCTTCAAGGAATAGCCCCATCTGACAACATGCCCAAAGTATATGAGGAAAAGCCTCATTATTCTTGCTTCCCAAGAGCACTCCGGCTGAACCCTTACCAAGACCTAACTGTTCGTTCTCTTGGCCATCCATGGGATGCTCAATGAACTGGAAAAATCTGAGCTACCCAATCCAAACCACTGCCATCCAGTCAAATTCGACTATAGGACAGAGCAGAACTGCCCCAAAGGGTTCCCAAAGCTGTGAATCTTCATTCTTTCATCTTTCTCACCCAGAGACACTACATTTCAGTTAGCAACCCAACGCTTAACCTGCTACACCACCAAGGCTCCAGTCCTGAGAAAAGAATAAAGACTAATGGGTAAAAGGGTTAGGGTAAATTGCTAAAACAGAACCCTCTGAGGGTTGAATCTTTTCTCCCTTAGAGTCTGGTACCATAAAAATGCTGTTTTTAGTTTGGTGCTTCCTCAAAAAGCTGAACATAGAAATTCCACAGGACCCAGCTATTCCACTGCTTGGACTATACCCTAAGAGAATGAGAAGTGAGGCACAAACGGAGACTTGAACACCAATGTTCAGCATTATTCACCATCACAAGAACATGAAAACAGCCCAGATGTCCAACCACAGTCCAAAGGATTGAGAAATTATGGTACATCCACACAATGGAATACTACGCAGCATGCAGGAGCAATGATTTCTAAATTATTACCTAACTTGGGAGGGACTGGAGAGCATAATATGTTGAGTAAACTAACTCAGTTACATAAGGACAAATACTATATAGAATCATTATTGTAGAATGAGCGTGAGGATCCAAGGGGGAAGGGAGGGTGGAAACGGGTGAGCATGAGTGTGGGGGTTGGAGGGGATTAATTATATGGTCCCACAATTTGATGGAGGGGAGTTAGGGAAATGGGAAGGAACTGATGTGAGAAACAATGTACTAGAATTTTGTAAATAAATTAGTATAATAAAAAAAGACTGTTACTTTTGAGTGAAACTAAAAGTAGAAGCATAAGCCAAGGACAGAGGTAGTAATTTGCATTCTCTAACACATCTAAGATTTCTATGTATGCAGGCTCCTGGGGGACCAACAGTTACACATATTTAAAACTACTTGAAAAATCACATATTTTTTTAAAAAAAAACTTACACATATTCAGGTCACTAAGGAATTGTGCTATCCATAGGTACACGGATCAAATCTACCTACCAGCTGTTTTGCAGGAGAATGATGGGCAATCTCCTCCGGTTTGATTTACTAACTCAGAAAACCCGCTGATGGGCCAACTATGAACTGGTTCCAGCTCAAGAGAACTTAACAATAATAGATACCTAACATAGGCATTCTTTAATTTATCCTTGTAGCAAACCAACTGTCTCAATCTAACCTGCTTATATAATTGACTGGCTACTCGATTACTTACTGAAGAATCCTAAAGGAAGAAGAAAATATAAATAGTCATAAAAGACATAAATACTAGAGGGAGGTAACAAATGACAATCAACGACCTCAGTTAAAATTCAAAGGGCTATTCTCTTCTCATGTAGTCTAGCCTCCTACAATGTCAGAAATTTGAGGTTTAAGCTGGAGATTTTGGACATTTATCCTTCCAACAGAAACAACCTTTTTACAGAGAGGTCAACTGGCTTATCAGTCAGTGTCTAAGCTTTTAGAATTTAAAGGACTTTAAGATCTAGAAAGCCATGTTAAGATTTGTCAGAGAAATAAATACTTACATGCACCCTGTAACCTGAAATTTTATTGAACCATATTTAGGGAGCTCTGGTGGCTCAGGTAAGGAGCTCTGCTACCAACTCAAAGGCAGGTGCTTCAAATTGACCAGCTGCTAAGCAGGAGAAAGACAGGCAATCTGTGTGACTTACAGCCTCTAAAAATTTGCTTGAGGGCCAGTTCTGAGCTGATCCTGACTCAATGGTAACAACATAAGGATTTGTGGGTCTGTTTCTACGAAGTATTAGTTGACAAACACATTCAAATTGCTCAGATTTCTGAGTCTACAAAATATACCTCGATTCATCCATACTTCTGTTTAAACTTCCAGAAATACTTACAAGTTTTGGGTAGATAGGAGACATGAATCTGAGAATTCAATCAAAGGTAATGATAAAATTACAGCAAAAATTCTGAAGTCCATAGAATTGAGTTTGAACACTCTCTGTCATTTACTGGCTATGAGATAATCATGAACACATCAATATAGGTCTTAATCCAATGGAACAGAAAAACTGAGAACCCAGGAACAGATCTAGCTATCTATGGTCAACTGATAATCAACAAGGAAATAAAACCTATCAAATGGCGATATGACAACCTCTTCAACAAATGGTGCTGGCAAAACTGGACTGCCACCTGCAGAAAGCTGAAACAAGATCCACAATTCACCACATACACAAAAATCAACTCAAGGTGGATCAGAGACCTGGGAGTAAGGCTCAAAACCATAAAACTCATAAGAGACAAAGTTGGATCAAGCTCAGAAGGCTTAGCCTAGGGTATATAGAGACTGCCAAATACAGGCAGAAATGCACAATCTTAAGAGGATAAAATTGATGAATGGGACATTCTAAAAATTAAATCTCTGTGCACATCAAAAACTTTTCTCAAAGGGGTGAAAAGAAAACCTACTGATTGGGAACAAACGTTTGGCAATACCAACTCAGACAAGGGTCTCCTAATGAAAGTTTACTCTTGGGCCTCCACAAGAAAAAGACTGATAACCCAATTAAAAAT